TTAGACCATCTTTTAGTGTGTTGCGAGCCACTTCCGTGTATTTAGAGTCTCTTGGTTAAATTCAATAAAAAACAAAAGTGGATAAAATTAAGAATAATCCATAGTGTTGATATATAATAAAAGAAAACGGACCATCAATTTCCTTCAAAAACAGTACAATATGCATATTATGAGTGTACAAGAATTATCATAAATGAAGTAAACAAGATTTTCGAGAAACATTTTCTTTCTCTTACATTTAAGACAATCGTGACATTGTGTCTGGAACAAATGCAATAACATTCAGACTTTAACTCAAGAAGACAAAACAACCAATCATAAACACTACTTTCAAATGATATGTACCATTTCAACAAGTTTTCAAAAGGTGGTCACCTCAATAACTTCCTTTTTTTTGACATGCCTTCAAGATGCTCCTGATCATAGTTAAAGCAATCTGAAGTATCTACAAGGAATCACCACTACACCTCCTCCTTTCTGGAGCATAGAGAGAGAGAATGATATATTGATATTTTTAAAAGTTTAAGAATTTTCTACAAAAATCCTTACAAAACAATTGTAATGTGTCATCATAATCATTTAAACTTTAATTACATTGAACCATGTTTAATTTATGACATTTGTGCAAATTTGACATATGAATTCAACAGATTCCAGAGATATTGCATCTATATTCCATGGATGATCACCTAGAATGCATGAAATATGTTCCCACTGCTGATCAGTGACACTTCTCACACTGTATCCGGAGTCAAAGCTCATCAGTATGACATACAAAACATTCTTCTGATGGGAGGAAGACGTTGAAGCAGATGATGGATTTATGTTTGGAGTAGAAGGTTTCGGCATCCTCTTATCTGACTTTAAAGAACCCATGAATAGTTTATTCACTTTTATTTTGGATGACTGGGTGTGAATGTTTTTGGCTTTCTCTTTTGATTAAAGAAATTTCTCCTTCGGTTTCCTCTCTTTCAATGCATTTTCTTTTCTTTTTCCAATGATTTCAATCCCATCTTCCTGATAGAATCTAATGATGTTAAATTGTTTGGCAATTCATCTGCAAGTCTTTTCTTCTTCATTTTCTTCAATTTCACTCCCACATCCAGTGGTTGCATCAAGTGAGTTGCATTTCTTACTAACCTGTAGATTTCTACATGTATCTAATGATATTTGGACATAGAAAAGGATTCCATGTCAACATGACTCCCTACACTATCAATCAATAAAACAAATGGTCTCTCTCACAGCATAATTATGATGTTCTGAAAGCTTCTGCATTCATCCAATCCTCTGTGAATTCTGCATGCGCATTTCTGTGTGAACCAGCCGATAAGTCATATGAGATAGGTTTGCGCTTAGAAATCGCAAAAATGGAGGAATTACTGTACCTTCAGCATTTGCACAGCACATCACAGCAACTATCGCTTCCCCCCCCCATACATGTGAAACTGGACCAGCATTTACTCTTTCATGTTTATCCAGCGATTATTGAAACTTCGAATTTCTGGAAAGGTTTGAGAATTTCTGGACGGGTTTGGTTGACACATAACTTTCACAAGTTTTAATATTATTCTTAAGGTAGGATTCTTCTCATATTTCTTGTATTTAAAAATTAAAGAAATTTTCACAGAATCAAGAAGACAATATCATTACGTGATGGTATCAGTAAGATTAAGTGTGACCGTTTTATATTAGAGGCAAGGTAAGGTCATTACCTTTTCCCTGGACAGTAAGAATAAAAAAATACTTTTGCGAATCATGCGATCCCTACTTGTATTTCAATAGATTGAATGTGTTTTTCTTTTTGCATAAAAAGATACTCTCATAAGGACCTATAAGATGATATAACCAAATTGACATAAATAAAATGGATATTGGCTTATCCGAATTTTCCCCACTTTTCTTAAATTTGTAGGTTATAATAGTTATTTTTATATGTTTCTTACATTTAAATTTCTCTCATTTTCACATATGGTAAAGTTGTCACATAAAGATATACAAAATGATACAAAAACAAAAAGTTTTGATCGTTTACTAAGAGATGAAAAACACTTTTTACGGATTTTTGGCTCAAATTTGTACTTAGATTTCGAAGTTTTTAAAAGTTAACACAGTTCTAGTTGTTTGAAAATTAATATTTATTTGATATATTTTGAAACTTTAGTCCCTTATTATCAATTTAATCAACATTTGAATTTTTTTTCACGTCTTTGATTGTGTAAAAATTATAACTAAATTCATTGTTCTATAAAAATTTTGAGAGGCAGAAAATAAGAATCCTGCCTTAATACTTAAGAAAAGTTGCAATTTTGTTGTGTATTGATGAAAAAATAGTAAAACAGTAGTCCAGAAAATTCAGAGAAGAAATGTTCGAAAGCAAAACTCGCAGTTTATTGTCAATTCGTGCTCAGTGGTGTGTGTAGACCTAATAAAGAATTTAACAGACATGGTGAATCGTAAACAAAAACAAAGCTAGTGCCCTGTTCACAAAAACAGTCAACGTTTCACGGGTGCATTCAATTTGTTAAACTTTGTACACAACACTAAGCATGGACTGACTATACTAGTGAGGTTTTTTTTTTCTTTCGAACATTTCTAATCTGAATTTCTGGATTATAATTTAAGGTTCATTGATACTCTGATAAGAGAGATAACTCTTAACGACATAAATGTCTATTCTTCCTTTATATATTTGCCAGATTGAAGTGTCTTTTTTCCAATTTTGCCCACAAGCTACGCTATAATTGTTTGTATTTTACTTATAAAAACATTTCTTTTGGAAAATCGTGAAGGTTCAAGCAACATTTTATATGAGTGAGCAGAGGGTTTACGAACCTTAATACTTTTCATTAATACACAACAAATTTGCCACTTTTCTTTTAAGTATTATAAATAAAATTAAAATTTATGATGTTTTGGGGGTCCTTTTGACTTTTGATCTTGAATACTGTTCGTTATCTCCATACAATGTATGTTTTATTTATAAGGATATGTCAAACCCGTCCAGACAGTCGAAATTTAAATAACTTCAAAATGAAATAAGGTTTTAATTTTATTTTCGTGTGAAATGCTATTGCAATATATAAGTCGTGCTATTTTATAGAACATTTGAGAAAATATTAACTTCAACTCTTTGTTTAAGCACCTTTCAGGGCGACCTGTCAAGCATTTACTTTCATATGTGTGTTGATTTTTCCATCTAGTCTTCAGTTTAACTTTGATTAAACATTTTCTGATCGAACCACAGGGAACATCATGTTATGTATAACCAGGAAATTGCCTTTTTTAACCCTTTCCAATAAGTATACTTAAAAATTATATCTAACCGTGCCTCTAATAATTAGTTTGGATTAGGTACCACAATTTTGATTATCTCTAACTGCTGACAAAGCAGGTAACAACATTGCCTTCGTTTGTAAGGCTCATTATATAAATTTATTTTAGAAGAACTTGGATTTAATTCTACAAGTGGTAATCCTACTTATACTCATACTTCCCTTTCTAAGGAAGAAATTCTTCAAAATCATATGTCAGTTTTAAATATTTTTAATATTCCACAGAGCCAAAATGAATTTGAACTACCCTATATATATATTGGATTCCGAAATTTCATAAAAATCCTCACAAACAAAGATACATTGCGGGTTCCAGTAAATGTTTAACCAAGCCTCTTTCGTTACTCCTCATTGAGATATTGACAGAAGTGAAGGAAAAACTTCAAGAGTACTGTGCAATAATATATTCAAGAAGTGGCGTGAATCAGATGTGGACACTCAAAAATTTCAAAGAACTTTTGGACAATTTAAAATCACAAGATTTTACCAAAATCAACAGCTTAAAAACTTACGACTTTTCAACTTTACAGACAACCATTCCCCATGATAAATTAAAGCCCGGGCTTTTTGATATCATTGACAGCTGCTTTTTCAATAAAAATGGACTCATAAATTTATTTACTTGGTCATTTGCAAAATTATTTTCTTAAAACACATTCTGACTGCACACACAAGCACTCTGAAATGGACATCAAAAAGATGCTTGAGTTTCTGATTGACAATATCTATGTGGTTTTTGGAGACCAGGTATTCCAACAATCTATTGGAATTGCCATGGATACCAATTGCGCTCCGTTATTAGCAGACCTATTTTTATATTCATATGAAGCAGAATTTGTGCAAAATCTTATGCGTGAAAAGAAGAAAACACCTACTGTGGCCTTCAACTCGACATTTAGATATATCGACGACGTATTGTCAATTAACAATGGTAATTTCCATTCCTATGTCGATACGATATATCCTGGTGAGCATGAGATAAAAGATAGCACAGAGGCTTACGCATCTGTTTCATATTGGATGTTTTACTTGAAAAAGATGTTAATGGTAATCTAACAACCAAGATCAATGATAAACGTGATGACTAAGTTTTCTATCGTCAACTTCCCTTACTTATGCAGCAACATACCTTCATCACCTGCATACGGAGTGTTAATATCTCAGTTGATCCGATACGCCAGAGCATGCTTTACGTATGAACAATTTCTAAAGAGAGGTAAATTATTGACAAGCAAGTTGATAAAACAAGAATATCAGCAGTCTCGTTTAAAGTCATCATTTCGTAAGTTCTATGGTCGATACAATGACCTTGTCAGCAAACACAATTTATCATCGAGTCAAATGCTGACTGACGTTTTTCATTTTAATTGTTAGTTCATTTTTATACACCCAATTGACAACGGATTGTTCCGTAATTTCCCGATCATGACAAGGAGAAAACGGCGGGTGTGACCGGTCAGCAGGAGATGCTCACTCCTCCATTGCACCTGATCCCACCTCTGATGTTTCGGAGGTCTGTGTTTGCTCTGCTCTTATTTTGTATTGTTATTAAATACTGTTCGTTATCTCCATATCATTCCTTGAAGAAGCAGTTAGTCACAGTCCTCAATCGCACTAACACGTCATATCTCGTATTTTTAAAACAAAAACAATTCAATATCGAAAAATATTTGTATAATATTAAATATGTCTTTATCAAATAAATTCAACAAATGCATTTTTATTGGTTTCCCAAGTCTAGCTGACTTGGATCGGATCCACAATCTTGATTGGCTCTAGTTTTAGGGCACATTCTGCCCTTGTCCCGAATGAGCAATGACACGTCATATCAGCGGTAGAATATGTTTCACCATGCTTAATTATTGTGCCGTCTGGAGCCTTGCAGTTTCTTCCTAAGTAAACCAAAGAAAATGAAAGTTATCTAATGTTTTTACGACTCGTATAATCATCTTTATCAAATACTAAGGTATCATTATGTGTGATACATGGTAAGGTATTTTAGTGTTAGTAGATGTTTGCGAAAGGTAGTTTTTATATATGCACAAGAATTGTTTTACAGAAAATAAATGTATATCTTAGAACACATTCATGTCAAACTCCTTTTCAAGTTTTTGTTTAAACATGTATACTTTATGTATAGATAGTTTTTACCAATTCTGTTATGACAAACTTTATGTGAAAAATTGAACTATGTTTATAACAAACATACCCCTGTAGCACGCGTTTTTGCTAATTATTTTTTTTTGTATGTTTTCTGTCAAATTTTCTGTAAGACTCGAGCAAGTAAGGTCATCTCACCATTTGGACATACCGGGCAGCAATGGTCCGGATCATGAACAGCATCGACACAGCCACCGAAAAAGCAGTCCACAATGGCACAGTACGCTTGGCCAGAGGACGTACAATGACAAGGTTCACATGCAGAGGGTTTGAATGGCCCAATAGGGTAATGCTTTCCGTGATAAAGGCAGCCCGAGGCAGCGGTTGCAAGTACGGGTAAATCTTGACTCTGGCCCACCAGGAAAACCGACGCCAGAAGGCAAACAGAGGCAATTATTTGATTCATCTTCCTTCAAACCTGAGTGATTGGTTTAAGGATTTACGCACTTTATCTTCGAAAAGGTGTAATCGTGGAGATAACCGCCAAAGATATGGTTTGTACTACTCCCGACGTTTCTTTCTGTACGTGTACATCTACTACATATGTACTTTGGATTGCTACTAGTTAATTTTCAATTATAGATTTTTTACGTCAGACCACTTTCATTGCATTTTTCAAATCTTTACCACTCTAGAGTAAAATATCAGTGATATCTTTACATTAAATGAACTCTTTTAAAGGTATAATTAAATGATCATAATGTGATGTGATAATGTGTTCGCGTCATCGCATTTGAGTAATATCAGGTCAAAAATTCTTGTCATAATGTAAAAATTCACTATTTATTGTCCACTTATCATTCAATGTCAGCTCTTTATCACTGCTAGCAGTAAGATTTGATGGACTGTATTTTATTCAAAATTTAATTCTCAAAAACGTTGCATTACTTTACACATCAATCGGTTCATATTCTGTAAAAAATTTAACAAATGTGTGGGAATTTTTAAACTATTAATTTTCTCTTTAATTAAGACATTTCTATATTGATTAATTGAATATGGTGTTGCGTATTATGTTGTAAATTTTGAATTTACCAGGGGGAGGTAAATTGTAAATTTTGCATTTAACTCCCCCTAGTAAATTCAAACTTTACAACATGATATTTGTCCCAATTCGAGAAATTTTTCACTCAGAGAAATACGTCAACCTATACCGGTGAAGGACCTTTACTCGGCACTTAGAGCCAATGAGCAGTGAGTGTTCCTTATCATGCAAACACCTACCTTGATAAGGTCCTCGGTATCAAAGGTCTCCTCCGAAAGTCCTGCAACTCTCACTTCAAAGTGCCGAAAGCTTGACGAAAGAACAATTGGCAATTTGCTACCTATTTTTTCTCGACTTATGTATTTCGCGGCAATGATTCGAACACACGACGATCAAGGAGCGAGCGATACATGTTGAGTACGATGGCCGATATCAGCCTGTCTAAAATAAAATTACACGACCTATAATTTTGTCTTTTTGTGACGGTCGACATTTTGTATAAAATAAAAATATAAAGTAAAATAGTCTTTGCTTTAAAAACGTCTATCTATATTAACACTACATTTTGCATAATTTGTACTCGATTATTTACGGGCTAAAATGTAGATAATATCTTGTATATGGTGTTGAAACTTCATTTTATCTTTCACTTGAATTACTAGTAGTTTAATTTTTATGTCTATCTCTTCTGTAAAATTTACAGACTAAGAGAAACACTTCTAGACACCTTGATGTGTAGAGTTGCTATCTATTGTTATCTGTTCAGTGTACAGAGATATAAAGTTAGATCAGGGACCATGGCGAAGGTAAGTTAATGTATCCTAATTTCTGTTTTCCTACCGAATCATCATAAGAGACAAAACAAATGCAGTATTTACAAATCTGTTTGTTAACATTTGAAGTCTGACATAATCACTAGTTACATAGATTAACATTCAAGGGAATCTATACTTATAAATTAACAAATTTTGCAAATAAACTCGGGAACGGCTGAACAATAGTTCTTAATTAAGCCTGAAGGAATACACTAAGTATTAGGTGATGTCCGTAAACTATATTCAGATTTCACTCGCATAGTAATTATGTTCCCCAAACGAAGTTGGGGAACATATTGTTTTTACTCTGTTTCTTATTATTATTATTATTATTATTATTAAGGTCTTCCGTCTCCAACGGAAGACCTTATTGTTTTCGTTCGGTTTCTTTTTCCCTATTATTATTCTTTTTTTTTCTTACCGATTTTGTGCACGCGAGTTCTCGGGAATGGCTCGACAGATTTTCACCAAACTTTCAGATCTGATAGATATTCATCTGAACCTTGTCGGAAATTTAAGTCGTCGATGACGTCACTTCCGGTCGTGAGATATGGACGATTTTCCTATTTTTAGGGGGTTGGCTTGTCCTGGAAACTCCTCCGGAACGACTTAAGATATTGACTCAAGATTTTCAGTGAAAGTAAAGGAAGGTTTGCTGAGTTGCAGCCAGGCGTCCAAATCTTTCTAGCACAAATAGCGCCGATGCTAGGTAGAGCCAAAAATGTGTCTCAAAAATATCTCACAAAATATGACACGTTTTGTTTCATATCTTCGTATCTATTCAAAATTTGTTAAAACATATAGAAGAAAAGTTGTACAGATTTACAAGACCTTTCATACGAATTAAAAAAAAAACGGGGCTGACCCCTCAAATTAGGGGCTCAGAAGGGCCAAAACTCTTTCACTTATATCTCTTTATTGATCAATATTTTGTTATACATTACAGAAGCAAAGATATTTATCGTAACGATTTGCAACAATATGTTATAAAATTGAGATAATATGTTACGTAATTAAGGGTCACAAGGGGCCAGAATGTCACATCTTTGACGTTTTATATCTCAAAAAGGGAGAATATTTTGATAAGCAATCTTGAACAAAAGATGATCAGAATAATGTTCTTAACAATATGCATACTTTGAATTTTTGTAAAACGGCCCCATTAAGGACTTGGAGCGATGGCCCCTAAATATTTCCATTCAGCATATCTCCAACACGAAAAGAAATCTCTGAATAAGTGTTGAACAAAATATCTTTTAAATGACAAGACCTTTCATTTGATATCAAGATAAAGGGTCCGACCCCTAAAATTAAGGGCTCAGAGGGGCCAAAAGTCTTTCATCTAAAACTCTATAATGATCAATATTTCGTTATACATTACTGAAGCAAAGATATTCATCTTAACGAGTTGCATCAGTATATTATAAAATTGAGATAATATGTTACGTCATTAGGGGTCACAAGGGGCCAGAATGTCAAATCTTTGACGCTTTATATCTCAAAAAGGGGGAATATATTGATAAGCAATATTGAACAAACGATGGTCAGAATGATGTTCTAAACAATATGCGTACTGTGAATTTTTTTAAAACGGCCCCATTAAGGACGTGTAGGGGTAGCCCCTAAATATTTCTATTCAGCATATTTCCACAACGGAAAGAAATCTCCGAATAAGTGTTGAACAAAAAGTCTTTGAATTTAGAAGCCCTTTGATTTGAAATCAGAAAAAGGGGCTGACTCTTCAAAATAGGGGCTCAGAGGGGCCAAAAGTCTTTCATCTATAACTCTTTAATGATCTATATTTTGTGATACATTACTGATTGAAAGGTATTCATCTTAACGAATTGCAACAACATCGTATAAAATTTTAATCATATATTACGAAACTGGGGGTCACAAGCGGCCAGAATATGAAGTGTTTGTCGGTTTATATCTCGAATAGGAGAAATATTTTGATATAAACAATGTTGAACAAAGGATGGTCAGAATAATGTTCCAAACAATTGTTGTAAAATGGCCCCATTAAGGATTTGGATTGGTGGCCCCTAAATATTTTATGCAAGATATCTCTTTAACGAAAAGACATCGGTGAATAGGTCTTGAACAAAAAGTGTTCAAAATCATGAGACCTTTCATTTGAAAGGGGCCGAGAGGGGTCAAATCGCTTTCATCTATAAGTATTTGAGATTGTTGAATAAATCAAAAGAATTTAATAAAGTGAGAGAAGTCTTGATATCATTATATTTTGTAAAAAAAAAAAGATCATAGTCAAAAATCATATCTCATCTTATCGAAAAATCGGACGGAAGACCTACTCGTTGCTCGCAACGAGATCTCATCTTGTTATTATTATTTTTCTTCTTCCTGGGAAAATTTTGTCCACGAATGATCTTGTAAACTACACATCGGACTAAGGTAAAATGTTTTTAGGATCAGTAGACATGTTATGTAGATTTGCCGAACAAAGGTCATTTTGCGCGCACGTGCTTGCAAGAGCGCGCATGTGCAACACGTGAAATGACCGATTTAATTGATTTTGGCGTAACTTTTTACATTTTTGATGAAATGCTTTCAAACTCATTATATAAGGATATATTAGTGGCATAGACAATATGACATGGTCAAAATAGCAAGATCTCACGCGCATGCACGTGCGCTGCGCTCTGATTGGCTGAAACTAAAGTGTCTATATCTTTCTTGTTTTTCGACGAAATCCTATAAAATTTTGAACATAGACATGCATTAAGATATCCTACAACATGATATATTGCAATTATCATGAAAACACGTGCATGCACGTGCGCTGCAATCTGATTGGCTTAAACTTTAAATAGCTATAACTCCCTTGGTTTTCAACCAAACAGGATAAGATTTGGAACATAGATAGATATAATGAACTTCTACAAGAGGGTATGGTCATTATGCACATGCATACACGTGCATGTACGTGTGCTGTAATCTGATTGGCTAAAGCTTTAAACAGTTATAACTCCCTTGGTTTTCAACCAAACGGGGTTGGCTTTAGAACATAGATAGATGTAATGGACTTCTACAAGAAGATATGGTCACCATGCTCATGTATGCACGTGCGTGCACGTGAAATGAGTTAAATCAAAAATACACTTGAATGAGCGTATTTCTTAATACTTTTGGATTAAATACTTTAACATTTAGTATATAAAAAATATTTAGACTGTGTAGACAAGATTATATGGTCATTACGCACATGCATCCACATGCGCACGCGTGCAATGCTAAAATTTGAATGAACTTGGCGTTTTCAAAGTTTCAAATGCATAGATTTTGTCCTCTTTAATGAAGCTTACAGGGAATATGGCACCAAAAGGGAGTTGGGGAGCGTTTGGGGAACATCTGTAACGGTCCCCGTTACAATTAGCACTAGTTATCTTAAATTTAATTAAAAGTCTACTTTCATTTTCGATCAACAGCCGAAGAGAGTAAAGTGGTGGCGGATCTAAGTAAATGGAATAAAAAAAAAAAACTGACAGCAAGCAAGCGCTTATTTATTTCATAAAACGTCATTAATGAATTATTCTGTAACGTGTATGGGTCCGTCTATTTAGGTTTAGATCCTTAATCAACCAAATGAATTAAACAAATGATTATGCAAACCAGAGATAGATCAACGAATTAAAACAAATGATTAGACATGATAGATGACAAAGCATAGGAAAAATGAACGAGTC